TCAGAAAACATTTATCAACGAAGCGGAGTTGGGCGAAAACCACAGCACCAATGATGACATACCTAAGAAGTCATAACAATTCACAATGCGTCTTGACTCTCGATTCGAACGAGGAACAGTCGGTCATACCCTCTCAATAGGTTCCTCCGCTCTCCGGAACTCTACCTTTGAGCCAACAGACAGTTGAATGATTTGGACTGTCCTATTTCTCACCGGGAGTTCATGCATGTGACGATGAATTTTGAATGTACCTAATGGGTAATGGAGAGCAGCCTGATGCCAGTACAGCGGCGATTAGAGTTCTCGGTAAGAACCCTTGAGACGAAAATTTTTCCCGCACGGTTCCGACGTTTTTCCTTCTTATTCTCATCAGTCCTCGATCGCTAGCCGTCTGCGAATTGTAGTCGATTGTGGAAACTCCATCACTCGAAGTGTCGGGCCACTCGAAACCTGTTGGCGCTGAACAAGATAACCCAGCGGGGGGATCGAGCCACGAAAGCAAAACCGGGAGGGTGAATATGGAGAGAAACGTTTCACCATGGCTCATTCTGGGATAAATCATCACAGCTCCGTGGATTATCCTTCACAGAATCCATGCGACTCCCGTGGATTGGAAACCCAAGATTCCAATTAATCTTCCGACGAGGAAAAAACGGCATCGGGAAAAACAGAAAGTTCTCTCATGAATCGGGTGGAGAATCGAGCGAAGAGCACGTCGGGCGGAGGTTCGGAGTGGTTTTTCAAATAAGCACTTCAGATATTGGTCGCTGCTCGAGAGATGAAAAAAATCTGTATAGATCCATATCTTCCTCCTCCAACTCTTCGGTATTCCCGCTCAATACCGCTCCGCCCTGCTCGTAGATTCGCTGAGTTTGTCGGGGGTTGAAAGGTGTTATATTCAATAATGAGCGGCGGCTAAGGTTGAAAACCCGCTGACAGTGCAAACCTCCAGGCACTTGAGGAATGGGGGACAGAGATTCTCTCATTCCGTTTCTTCTCCCCGAGAGCTCTGAAGACGAGCGTCGCAGGCGGAAAAGACGATTCACGAGGTGAAGGAGAGATTGTGGAAGGGCGGACAGGACTGGAGTATCTAGGCACGGCGTGGCGGTAGTACGGAGGAGCTCCGAGGGCATACGAGGAGTTTGGGCTCGCGAAAGGAGCGAGAGCGGCCAGAAGTGAAATAGAAGCGACGGTCTGTAGGGAAAGAAGATATAGAGAGGGTCAGACGAGACCCGGGAGAAGACGGGGACCGGCTGCGAGGCAATCATGGAGGGATGAGAGCCTCGGAACGGCTTCATTCATACCTTGACGAAATTCAAATTTTCCGATAACGCCAGCAAAAACACACAAACTCCCAGTTCTGCTGACGACATCGGCTGTCTGGCAGCTTGCTCAAGTGAGGAATCGACATTTTTCTCCTCTCGCTCAGCCGCCGCCGAACTCTTTGCTCTCTATTTTGACTCTTGGCGTGTCCTTTGACTCATCCTCTCCACCTTCTGTTTCCGATTGTCTCGTACCAGTCAGCCCTGCTTGCTTAATCTCAGGTGTTCCTCCCCAGCTGCTCCATCTCGAACGAATCTCCATCGACCGATCGTCCCGGAAACTCCAGATTTCGAGAATTCAAGTTCAATCTCGGTGTACAAGAATGGAACCGGACTCGCGTCCATAGCGTGAAGCTCGGAAAAATCCGATTTGATACTCATACCCTGACTCAAATGCCGCACGACAAAGATGCCAGAGCGATACCGCTAGATTGTTATTTCCGATTTCAGCTGTTTTCTGCGGGTTACATGGAGTCTCGGAACAGGCGAAACCGAAGTCATCTCCAGACCCTCGATCAAATCCACTGAATCCAGTTCCCCAGGAGCCGATGTTAAAGAATACTCATTCTTTCGATTCCAGTCCTGTGTTCCTCCTCTGCTTCGGAGCCCCAGTCAGAGTCTCCACATTCTCTCCTTGAGACCTCCGTGTGCCAAGCATCCGTCCGGAGCCATGACACCGAGACTCTCCCCACAGGAATAGCTCGCTTCTTTTTGCTCTCTTTGCATAGACTTATCTCTGTCCTGTCTCAGTGGCCCGAGGCCCCGATCCGAAACTTGTCCATGCTTTGCGTTTGCTCTTTTTTCCCTGCGTACCACTACAGGATCGTTGCTTCCACCGCTGAAGAGACTTGAGAGAGGAAAGCCGGGAAAAAGGGAAATGAGAGGGAGGAAGCCGCGATGGCTGCTCGGTGTTGGCTCGTGGCTGACACGCTAGTGCCCGAGGGCGTCTGAAGTCGGGTGTGTGTGCGCCCTGAGCGTGTCTGACTGACTGAGTGTCGATCTTCAATCGATATGCCCGCATTCTGTAGATTTGCGGGAGGCGGGAACGTCTCGACACCGAGTGGAGCGAAGTCGTTAGTTACCCTGATGACGCCGATAGGTGCGCGAGAGGATTGGGAGGAAAGAACCGTTGGTGGGTGGGTGGTGATGCTCAACCGGAAGACGACGCGTCATTTTGTCGAGAAATGGCAAAATACGAAATCATTCCAGTCATCATCGACTTCATCACAACCCCACATGCATGCCCGGTTTAATGAGCTTCTGAGATAGGGATTATGATACGCTCGTTCCCGCAGAAGTTCAGACAAGAATCTTCTCATTTCCAATGCTCCGATCGGAGAATCACTCGCTCATAGCTACAGCGAAGAAAACGTGGAGCCTCGTTTCCGAGGAAAGTGAGACGAGCGCAAATTCTGCATATCAGGACTTAAGCGAGAGAGAGTCGACTGAGACTCCATCCGAAATGCCGCGAGCAGCCTCAATCCGAGAGTTGTCCGAGCTCTTGTAGAGAATCACGGAAGGGATCTCCGGGCTCGAATCGCCTGATCCATGATAGGTCTCTCTGCTTGACTGCCATGAAATTTCTTCCGGATTTTGAGTTTCTAGGTGAAGCTGTCACATACCTACGCACAGATCGGGGACCAACCATAACCCGTCGACGCCTCAAACGTCGAAATCTTAGAGATCTGACGGTTTTTTCACCGGTTCCCTGCTCTCTCGACGATGTCGCTATCTCGAACTTCTCTTGGACTGTCTGACTGACAGCATGAAGATGGCCGAGCGCAGTACCGTCTCCGGGATCACTCAGCGGCCAAGCAGCTGATTTGCACGTCAGCGAACGCAGTGGAGCAAAGTGCTGATTAAGAAGCGGAGATAATGTCGAAAATTCCTCCGAATGAAGTCAGAGTTACCGCGCCCCGAGAAGTGTCCCACTGACGACTGAACTCCCTCGTCACCTCCGCCACCGCCCGATCCGATCAGGACAGACTCAATAGGCGATCGATCTTTTCCACTCGCGCGTTCATCTGAATCGAAAACGATAGAGCGTCTCTCACAATACGAAGTCCCTCACCGGGAACCAAATGAGCTTACGGTTGAGGAACGGACAAAAAAACGGAAGAAAAGGAACTTTGGACAAACATACTAGTGCTTGTAGCAAGTTAGCTAGCCAGCCGGCCGCTCCGGACGTCTTCCTCCTCGGACACTCGAGAGTAAGTTGAATGTAAGAAACTGCGAGGAAACAACTTGCAGCTGGGTCTTTGGCTCCTGCTGGCCGTGGTCTGCCCAGAGATACACAAATTAGATTTAAGCCTTTACCGCGGCAGCCACCTGATCCCTGGTTCCTTCGGCCGGCGCCATAAAAGCAAGCGAACGCTTTAGCCACCATCGGAAACCAGCGAAATGCACGTACAACTTTTTCCCGCTTTCACTTTCGCCCTCTGATAAGGCTCTGCTTTTGTTCCCGACAAAATCCCCCCATCCGGCGGAACTAACACGCCGCTACTGCCGGCTCAAATCCCTGATAGCGTATCGTGGATTTGTGAGGTGTCCCGAAATACTGAGAGCGTGTTTCGGACTAAACATGTCGCATAGGCGCGGAGGCACCTTTCGTCGACCGAGATAATTATGGAAATTCATAGGACATTCATCGTCAGAGACGATCCGATCTCTTGCGATGGGGCGGAAAAACGGTCCGCGAAGAAGGACATGGAATGCTGCGCGAAAATCCGCGAAGAAATCGCAGTCGGCGCCTGATAGTGCTAAAAGGCTCCGAGAATATACGGGCCAGAACGACGTATTGGGAAACACGGACAGAGCGCTGCGAAGGTCGGGGCCCCTTGCTCCCCTCCTAGATGAGAGAATCCCCGCTCCGGGGCCCCTTCAGCGAGGAACGGTCCGGACTTAGTCTCGGCTGTCAGCGACATATGCGAGAGCCTCCCTTCAGGAGTCGACGTAGGTACAAACGATCCCGTTTCGGAGCCGTTCCGTCTCCGGAATCAGCACTTTCTCAAAGGTACCGGACTGATTTAATAGTGTAGGTTGAAAAGGTCAGAGTCTGGCCCCGGTCATAGAATACCGGATGGCCGGATGGAACTCACAAAATTGAGATCTCCTCCCTCACGGAGCCGAGTTGATCTCGTCCAAATCATCGATCGTGAATCGGGCCCGATTACGCTCTACGGCAAGACCTGAAACAACGTGGAATTTCCTCCAGCTAGACAGTCAACGGACGGCCTTCCCCCAAGTGCTCTCCTCCTCGAGTTTTCAACCCTTGCCGAACGAGCCCCCGACCCTCCCTCCTCGGTCCACCATACCCTCTGAACCCCATGTGTCGGTCCGAGCCGTGGTTTTGATCCGGAGAGGGCGCCACAGCCCCCGAGCGAACGCTGTTGAATGTTTGGGAGAGAGCTCTCTCCTGCTTCCCTTTCTCAGTCGGGGTTGGCCGAAATCAAAATCGAGAGGCGGGCAGAATATGTTCGCCCAAAGTGTAGAGAACACGTAACTTGTTGCGCTTTTCGGTTTACGTGAATGAATAAGACAGTCAGTCAAACTGTTTCCCATCGAGCCGGACGTATTTCTGGTGCAGTGTAGGCGTTTTAGCGGCCGGAGCGAGTTCTTCCGCCCGAGTAACGCGGTGTACGACGTCGAGACAGTGAGGAACTCAACAAAGACACAAGCATGAAACTCTTACGAGTTTTATTGCTAATCTCCAGTGCGTGCTTCAGTCGGTCAGACGCTTCGCGCGTCTTCGTAGACCAGAGTGATGGGTCATACAGAAATTTGGTGATTGCGATTTCGCCCAAAGTGAATCCTCTCCATGGAAAAACTCTGATACCGAATTTAGAAGTAAGTTTGAGAGCCTTGTCAACAGCTGATGGATAAAGCCTACAACGACCCCATCGTCAACAACCTGTTGTGTGCCGCAACTTCCCGAGAGTTCGGGCTGTTGCGTGATGAGCATGAAGAGTGATGCAACAGGTTCCGTTGAGAATGCTGTCTCGCTTGTTCTGCTCGTACAATACCGAGAGCGTAGATCTGAACTCGGTTCCCTACTGCAAGTTGCACCTCTGCGGCTTCGTCTTTCCCAGGAGTGGATAGCAGATGTATGGCGAACGCAAATTTCAATCACGCTTCGAGCATGTGATTCCGGCAGCCCTGAGAGCAGTCCAGTCGTGCAGGGAGTCCATAGCACCAGGAATTAATTGACGGTGATATTGACCGCCATTCGTCGGAAGGCATCGGGCAGCGGAATGGGGTGTTCCCAATGACTTCACTCGTAGGGGGCGAGTCCTACCGGCTCCCGTGATTGTCCACTTGTAGGTGTTACGGTATCCGCGCGAGTTGTAGAGCTGTCCGAGGTCGGGTTGAAATAATGATGATGGAGTGCGATGGCAAAAATATTCGCTGACATCCTCCTGATGTAGAATGTAGGCCGCGCGTGGCGTGAAGGCCTGATTTGACGACGTTTCCCCGTTGACAGCACGAGCAATAATGTAGCGATAATTGCTAGGCACCCAGCCGGTCCGCGTGCTTGTCTGCCTGCCTGCCGGCCGGCTCTCAGGCCTGCTCGTCATTCTCTGACTCCCTCAGTCACTCAGCGAGCCGATGGGACACTATTGGTTTTTTGACACTGTCAACATCGAAGCAGGCGAAGAACAACGTGCAGTGGGGGAAAAGGCCCCGGGCAATCCGAGCTCTTTGGAGTGGAGTCTATTTACCTGCAGCTCATATTTGGCCTAAAGCGAGGCATCCATGCGAGGCTTTGCAGACGCCCGTCGTCGAGGTTCTCCTTCGGGAAACCTACCCCGATCCGGCCTTGACAGTCAGTCCCGCCAATAATAGAAATCGAGACAAATATTCTGAATTGCCTCGTGCCGAGAACTCGGAGGTTCGTGATTCGGAGCTCGGTGTGGAGAATTCGTAGGGCAGGAAGGCTAGCGGACGGTTGCCCGGACGATCACATCTAGGGCGCCCTTCGATCCTAAAAATCACAACGAACACGCTGGAGTTTGTTGTGACCTCAACCTGTGATCTCATTTGTGTGGCCTTCGCGGTCAGCGAACCCTCAAAGAGGTGTCCATTTTGGATCACGCATTCTGCAATCAATTTGATGCGAACCCCATTCGATGCTACGCGTGCATTAGGGGGAGGCACACGAGGGAGGCACGACTGAATTTATTACCTACAGGGGATAAGGCCGAGGAATCTACTTGACCGCGACCGAGTATTCGGGGAAGACTCTCGGGCCGAGGCGTCGGGCTTCGGCTTCCAGGACGGGGATGTCCCTCTGGAATCCGCGCCGGCTGTGCTTGTCCGTGTACCTGCCCAATCGCGACTGGAGATGCCGGCGGGAGGGAGAAGCACTCGGATGAGATTGCCGCTGGACTCGCCTGAGCGGAGGCTTCGCGCGACACGGATGTAGTGGACGCGAAATAATCCCGTGAATGAATCGACACCGGGAATTCCGCTCGGCCAGAGCGCGGTCGTGAACAGGTCGCTTTTCATTTCACCGCTAAGAACGCAGTCTAACTCGCGTGCACGTCTACGAAAGCTTCCGCTAGATCATACGCAGTACATCCGCTCAGACAGAGCAACTATCGCACGCTTTTCGAGCCAGCGGACGGATCCGTCTACGGCGATGGCGGTCACCGTTGGAGGAGCTCTCGGAATCCTCCTTAAGGGTTTCAGGACTCGTAAACAGTTATCTCGAGCTGAGTCCCCAAGACGGGTGTTTATAACGGTTGTGACTCATTCAGAAAACGCCAGAAGCCACTTCAATCGCTGGTCTGCCCGAGCGTTCGTCGGCCACCCTAGCCATGCCTCACTGATTTTCCATAGTCACCCAAGAGCATGAAGGCATCGACCGTCCTCCTCCGGGTCTAGTTCCTCGTTCGGTGTTCACCGGCCTTTCCCGTAGAGCGTTCGATCCGTACATACTCCGAATCGATCAATGCGATCCATGGTAGGAGCCCTCGCTTCTCGGTCAGTGACACAAAATTCCCCGTGTCAGAATAAAGAAAGGTCTGCCCCAATCTGGCACGAGAGCCCTTCGTCAACTCACGAGAGTCGTTCGCGATTTCTCCTCTCCTAGTTAGCTGAACTAAACTCTCTCAAACCCATCCGGTCGATCGGAGGCGCATTCTGTGCTGTGTATCGAGGTTGTCGTCTGTTAGGCTGACGAGTATCCCCCTGACTGGTTTCCGTTTTCTCGAAATCTTGTCCGCTCCGCAATAATTGAATTCTGGATAATTTACGTTTCAATGATCAAATAGCATGATCGATCGATCGTTCGTTCGTTCAGAGAGTCCAGTTTTGAACTTTCGAATCCGCGTCTTGACAGCGCAGCTTCGGGGATGATATTCAGGAATCATCGGTTCTGATGAAATAAGAACAGCCCGGACGGAGCTTGCGAGATGGATTCGAAGCTCGCAGCGACTCAGAGGGAAGATACGGAATATGTTAAAAATGCGTTTCTCTACTCAGAGGCGCGACGCTTGAATTGAATTATTCGCCCGTCCCGAAGCGCTTACCGTTTTTCTCTCTTGTGAGCTAAGGAAAAGTCGAGTGAGCGGGAAGTGAAAAATTCAGCATGGGAGCAGGCTTGAGCAAATATGAAGACGACACACACACGTGTAAAGACCGAAGACGCCCCAGCAAGTGATTTGAATAATTCGCCCGCGCCGCGGAGTAGAGCAAGCAGCGAAAAACTCGAACAAAAATTTACGGAATCCCTCTCCGAACACGATAATATCGAGAGCTCGTACACGGCCGGGAACGGTAGCAGATTAGAGGTTTTGAGAGAGCCGATGACGAGGGACCCATGTTTCAGAACGGCGGAGTCGCGTTTTGAAGCATGGACGATGGGACTGGGCTGGTGGCCAGCCGATCCCCGCCGCGATGAACGGGCGAGCGGAGTTCGTTTGAAGGAAACTCGCAGCTGCGCCCTCGTGCAGTGTGTCGGCTTTAAAAGCTCCCGAGCGAGCCGTCGATCGGAACGAATCGCCCGGTCGCTCACGCACGTAAAATGCGCACGTGGTCTGAATCAAGACTATCAGCACACTGCGAACTGTCAAATAATGCGCTTCGACCAACAATGGGAAGCTCAGTGGAAGTGAAACTGGAAAAAAAAGTTTGCGCTTTCCTCGCTCTTCTCCCTTCGGCACTTTCTTTCAATGTCCCCGTTTCGGATCCGCTGCTGCGTCGCCTCGGGTCTAAACTCCCGAGCTCGAAACTCCCTTTCTCGCCCCGCTGCTCTCCCAAAAGGTGTGGGATTTACCGGTAAAATGAGGCATTCCGGAGAACTTCGCAGAGCAAGACAACCATCGCACCGCGGTGGAGCGGCCAGAGGTTCTTGATCCATCCCCTGACGGACAAGTTGCTCGAGGGAATGGAGCGAGTAGCTTTCTCCGCAGAGGACCTATCGAGGATCCGAGCTCGTGTTGCTTGGTTCGAAGACGGGGCACCGCTCGACTTTACGGCTAGGTACGCGGGGCACACGTTGGAACCGGGGGTGACGACGACGCCACGGAACTCTCGCCCACCATGCTGGGAAGAGCGTGCTTCTCATTTTCCAGGTTCCGAAGATTCCCCCCTCCCCACTCGAGAACTCCCCGATCCATTCGCTCTCCCAATCGACGGCAAGTGGCATTACTTGCCCCGAGTCTTTCGGGACCGGATCGTCGACTCGAAAGCGGCGTCTGATCGCTGGCGGAGCTCCAGAGAGGGGAAGGGGAGAAAAAAAACTCTTTCGCGTCGTCGAGGCAACAAGCGCGCTCTGGAAGGGGCGCACAGCAGTCGACGACTACGAACCCTCACGAGCGTGAAAAAAGTAAACGAAGTTGCCGAAATCCGCCTTTTTCAATATTTTCCGAAAACGGGGAATAATAAGTCGATCGTTTCGTCCGGAGTTCTCGTGGGAGGACAGCAGAGAAACGCTCTCTAGTGTTGTATACGGAACCAACCGGTCGTGTCTCAGTCGCTGCATTGTCCCTCGACTTATTCGGACATAAACTACAAGTCCCGAGCGTAGTTCGGCGGGAGCGGTGGGACCGTGGGTCACTTGCTCGGTCGGTTGGTCACTCGGTCGGTCGGTGCGTCGGGGGGTCTCTCGGCGTCTCTCTATCTCTCGATTCGCCCTCCTCTAGGCTTGTTTCGTGAAGGAACTAATAGGGATTTGCTGCTTTATCTCCGAGCAATGCAGTAATGGGTCCGAGCGCAACCGGACTCGTAGCGACGGCACAAAGGGAGCGAGTAGGCATTTGAGTCCGAGTGGAACTTTTGCGTCACGTATATACCGAACTAAAGAGACGGATAATTTTCTCCCAATTTGTCTGGAGATCTTCGGCCCTTTTCCCGGCACTTGTCCGGTCGAGCTATTCACAATGTAAGCCCTCCGAGTCATTCCGATCGGAAAGATCCACCAGACAAAGAAGAATTCAACATTCCGAACCTCGAATCGCGTCTCGGAGATCGTGGGCATCAGCCTTCCGATAGATGAAAGATTCATGAAAACGAAAATTCAATCTCTATTCCTGCTCATGGGGAAGAGGAATCGAGCCAGTCATCCTCACTTCCCGCGCGTCCGTCGCATGTCGCGGTGACAGTTGTCTCGAGGGGAGAGGCAGCACCCAGGAACGTGCCACCCATGATGGTGCTAGCCGCGCCGTCCCGCATTCTTCTTATTCTACTCGTCGTACTCGCTGCGATCGGGAAGTTTTCAGGGAAAGGGAGTTCAGGAGTCAAGGACACACGGGCTCTCATTGTCCTCAATCTCTGCTGTCCGACCGCGTAGGCGACCGCAACATGTGGGATTAAGCATTCATGAAGAGCGCGTGTACTGTATTTAT